TATGATTTTATTATATAATTTATTACATACAAAATAAATCTCCTTTATATAAGAATGTAATTTATACAGATTTTTGTCAATTATAATAAAACTTCATGTGCCGATTTACATAAGATTATGTATTTTACAGTTAAAATCTAAAATTAAAACATTATAAGTACATAATTCTGTGCCAACTATAATTATTTCTTCATAGATAAAACATTTTATTTTTATAATTACGAAATAATCTATATTCCATTAATTTAAACTATTTTTAAATGTTGCCATATCTTATTGTTTAAAAGTCGTGTGTAATTTTAATTATCATATAAAATATCTTAATCCATAGATGTTGTAAATTCTATGTCTATTCTAGTGTTTGTTTTTATTATCTGTGTATTATCGATAGTTTTTTATATCTCTCTATTTTAGTCATAACTTTAGATCAGGATAAAAACGAACGCGACATTTCTCGTTAACGAAATGTCATTCAACATGTTTTCATTTGATTTAAAAGGAAACTATCGTTAAATGTGTGCACAATTTTTAAAACGCAACAATTTTCTTTAGTTTGTAGTTTATTTTCGAATCTGAATCCAATGAACACCATGTAAAATCTGTTTTACAACAAAAAAATTAGTTATTACTAGTTGAAACCCTTTGACCGCTGGTGATATTATGACGTTAGGGAGCATGTTTGAGATTATCTCATAATTTTCAATTTAAATAATTAACAATTATTTCTATTGTTTATTTTCACTTTGTTACCGCTGCCAATGATCATTTCTTTAAAAAAAAATTATTTTCAGTTTGTTTTAACTACTATAATTCTATATCTACCTAATATATCATGTATTGTTGTATTTAGAAATGTGCGTTTTATATGCACACCCACTTATCTCATCTTTCTTTTCGTCGAGCGAAAGTCTATCTGTCTTGCTGCACTCCAGTGTGTTATGATCTTTATCACACTTTATCAAAAAACAAATGATCACCTTACCTTCTTTTTCCCTGATCACCTTGTTCTGCTACGTGTAACACGACAATGTTGGAATAATCTGTTTTGGTACGCTGTTAGCAAAGGAAGGCTTAGCAAGATTACACTTGCGTTCTGCTTCAATTTCATTTTCTAGAAATGCACATAACAAAGTTTCGATTTTTCTCTATTGGGATTTTAGCCCATTGCCAATGGATATGCCACATTGAATTTAAAGCCGATTTCCTTAAAGATATCCAGAAAAGTCCTGTTCGGGTAACGACAAGCTTGTTTTAGACCTTACAAACTTTCCTTTAACAAGCAAACTCGACTCGTCCCGTCTTCATACTCTTCTGGATGCTTAATATATATCCCTTCGTCAGATAGAGATCCATATAAAAAAGCTGTTAAAACATTGAACTTACTTATTTCATTTCCACACTAGCTGTGAGAGATCTTGCCAATAAAAGTATTATTTCTCACATTCCAGGTTCTTTATTGCCACCTTACCTTCTTTCTCGTTCTTGTCCTGCTTCGTCAAGAAACACGCCGTCGTCGAAATAACCTGCTTTTGAAAGGTGTTAGAAAAAGAAGATTTGGCAAGATTCTGGCTTGGTCCATTATAATAAAAGATCATCAGGTAATGATGACTTCATTAATGGCAATAAGATGCATTCGTATTTTTCTCTCACAATTCCTAAGGATTCCAAAATTTGCAAATTAACAGAAATTTTATTAAAAATGAAAATTATATGTTATTTTTTGTTAGAAGAACATCTAAAATTTCTCTGACATATATTTCAATTAAAACCTCATCCTTGGCGAAGCGTTTATTCAAGGTATCTACTACCTTCTCATAGTTCTTCTTTGTAGGCGGATAACTTTCTACTAATGTTCTTGCCTTCGAATGTGGAGCCATGCAACTTAATAAATATGTAAATTTTTCTTCGCTCTGGATTCTTTTTGAATGATTTTTTTCATACAGAGATCCACGACTTCTGGTTATCGTCGAATTTACGCATTTCTATTTTTGGTAGGTTCAACGGTATCTGAGTGCATCCCTGTTTGTTTGGGTCTGGTCTATTACATTTTATTTGCAGCCATCATTTTTTATTTCTTGACAGTCCTCGAATTCGTTGGATATTGTGTCTTCGTTGTAGTTGACGTCTTCATACATTTTTTGATCTAGGCTTACTATAGCTTTGATTTTGCTTCTAAAAATTCAACATGGGCGTCTGTAAATTTTTCACTCGCCTCGTGTCTATTAAAAATGCGTCGGATTTGGCACCTTTTTCGTGTTAATTTTTTAAGGTCCATATTTCATTCGTATTCTTCTTGTAATCTATATTCCTCATCATCAACCTGCCGTTATGCCTATCGAGGGTCGGCACAGCATGTACTACTCCTCCATACATCTCTATCAGCCGTCATATCCGAGTCTACCCCCTTCTTACGCATATCCTCTTTCACACAGTCATTCCATACTTTTTTTGGTCTTCCTCTACCCTTGTAGCCATCCACATTCAATCTCATTACTTTTTTGCTTATATCATCATCATCCCTCCTGATAACATGTCCAAACCACGCTAATCTTTTACTCCTCAATTTCTCGATCACTGGCGCTACTTTCAAACTTCCTCTAATATACACATTTTTAACTTTATCCTTCCTTGTCACACCACACATCCATCTTAGCATACGCATTTCAGCTACATGCAATCTTCTTTCATCCGAAACCTTGGTGGCCCAACATTCAGATCCGTACAATACGACAGGTCTTACGATGGACTTGTAGATCTGTCCCTTAAGTTTCATTGGCATTCTTGGATCACAAGTTACACCGGTGACCTGTCGCCATCTCATCTAACCTGCATTTATTCGGCTTTTCACATCCCGGTCAACACCGCCGTCATATTGGACGAGTGAACCGAGGTACTTAAAATCGGAGCAGGTTGGTAGGTTTACACCATTTAAAGCAATTGGAGAAAAGCTGGTCGGACCACCAAAATCACAGAATAAATGTTCTGTTTTGGTCCTACTGATTTTAAGACAAGCTCTCTCCAATGTATCTCGCCATATTTCCAACCTGCTCTGTACCTCACATTCATCCTCCCCGACAAGCACGATGTCATCAGCATAAAGCATACACCAGGGTGCTTCTTCTTGTATGTCTGATATTAGCGCATCCATTACCAGGAGGAAGAGATGCGGGCTTAAAGCCGAACCCTGGTGTAGGCCCACCGACACACCGAAGCTGTCGCTATCGCTGATGTGTGTATTGGCTTGGCAATACATAGCATGAATAAGCTGCAGATATTTCCCAGGCACTCCTTTCACTTTCAAGGCCCACCACGAAAACCTCCTCGGAATCCTATCATACGCTTTTTCGAGGTCTACGAACACTATGTGCAGGTTTTTGTGCACACGCCTATATTTCTCGCACAGTTGGCGAATAGCAAAGATGGCATCCGTAGTACCCCGTCCTGGCATAAAACCAAATTGGTTCCGAGTTACCTCACTCTTTTCTCTTATTCTTCCGTCCACCACTCTTTCCCAGGCTTTCATACTGTGTGACATGAGCTTTATTCCTCTATAATTGTTACAGATCTGCACATCCCCTTTGTTTTTAAATATAGGCACTAGTGAACTAGCACACCATTCATCTGGGATCACCTCTTCCTGTAACAACTTGTTGAAGAATAGAGTCAGCCATACCCATCCATCCGCCTTTAGGAGCTTCCATACTTCCACTAGTATTCCATCCGGCCCAACAGCTTTTCCATTCTTCATACCTTGCACCGCTTTCTTTACTTCTTCCACGCTTATCTCTTTCACCATACCAATATTAACCGGCACTTCTTCGAACACTCCACTCCAAATATTCTCCTCGTTCATCAGTTTTTCAAAATATTCCTTCCAACGCTGTTTAATATCATCATCATCCATTAGTACCTTTCCTTCATCGTCTTTTATAGACTTGATGTGGTTTATATCCCTTGCACTCCTTTCTCTCTCTCTCTTGCTATACGGAACAGGTGTTTTTGTCCCGCTGGGCTGTTCAGGCCTTCGTAGATTTTAACCTGTGCCTGTGCCCTAGCAGTTGCGATGGCTTTTTTTGCACATCGCTTACACTGCTTATATACGTCTCTTTGTAATCTATATTCATCCAAACTAAAATTTACATGGCTTTTTTAGTCACGGTCAGTGACCTGGAATCTGAAAAATAAAAGTATTATTTTTCACATTCCAGGTTCTTTGTTTTCTGACACGCGTTCTTACATTTCTTAAGCTCAAAAATGTCACTTCTTTTTTGACACCTTTTTTCGAAATAGGTTTTAATCCACAACACTCACGTCTTATGTCCTCGGTTAAACTATTCAGTAAGTATGCAGCTCGTTTTTTTTAACGGAAAGTATAAGAAGGAAAGAACAAATAACTTCGTTCTGTACGTATCCTGCTCTTTTATAGGCACAACGGCTAATTATCACCAAGCGGTTAAAGGGTTAATATAAATCTGAATTAAAACCTCATCTAAAAGATGTCTAAGTTTTTTGTAATAAGACAGCATCCGTTTAGGCTGTGAATAAATCTGAGCGATAAACAAAATATTGTTATTATTAAATTTTGTTGCTTTCATGTAATGTTTGTTTTCATTATTGTCCCAAAATTAGATTAAGTATGCGAAAGATAGATCGTAAATTATGTAACGAAGTGTAAACAGACATTAAAGCTGTTAGGTGATCACTCTTGATACACTTGTAAATAAAACATGTTGTTTTCTTTGTTATTTTTAACGACAAAGAGAGTGATGATAAACTGCTGAAACCTACGACCAGAGGTCACAGTCAAACATTTGCACCAACTACGAGTAGTTTACGTAGAGATTCTGCCTTAGGTAATCTCGATTAAGGAGAGTTATACAGAAAAACTAGAAGAGTTACGTATGAGTATAAACCAAAAAGTTTCAACATTCCAATAACCACATTTCTTTTGTCAGCACTGGTTGTCAGACGTTAAAAACTAAACGTTTATTTTTTTAAGAAAATATGTCACTTTTTACATCAAAATAGTGTCAAAATCACTAAAAGCTGAAATTGAACATCAACAATGAATCCATTATCAAAAATCCGTTACTTCTTTACAATTATTTATAAGAACGGTGGATTGTGGAAGTCACTATGCAAATTGGGACGTTTTGATACTTTGAAGGTTGGTTTCTAGGTATAGGATCAAACTGCTGACTATCGGTGCAATGCGTTAATTTTATTTTTTAATGACTAAAGGATGGTCGTTACGTCGGTTGCGACGCTTTCGGCAATCAATATTTCGAGAATCCTTATTACTTCCTCGGCCGAAGTCGCTGGGTGGAATACAGCAAGAGCGTTAAACTAGAATATGATGCAACTCAGGTGCGATGTTTTATAATTAATATGTTTACCTATGGTGTAGAATAATGTAGGCCGTGACCACAATTCCACCTAATGTGGTTACGTGACGTTGACCACAAAACGACGTGATGTGTGAAAGTGATGATATGGTTGAAACAATATACCCTATAGTTTAGTCAATGCACATTCGCCCTACTCATCTCGTACTTGTTTGAATAAGGAACAATGATTCCTATCACTTCTGAACTTGGTGTACATCGACTACGAGGACATGATGGTGGATTCTGCCTCATTTTTTTTAATATCCAATGGCTAATTGGATATAATTTGGGTTTCGAAAGATTTCCAATGATTTTGTTGGGCATGGGTTTAACTCATTAAAAGTGGAATAAAATTAAAACTAGAAGATAATTAGAATGATACTACATAGATATTCTTTATTTGTGCTTTTTTACTTTTTAAAACTTTTTGATTTATTCAATTATGATGTTATATTTATTGAAACAGATAACGCCGGAGTGGTTTGGTTGGTTACATTATAGAACGGACCGTCTGCCCGACCAGGATTGTCCCAAGTTTCTGCTCAAATCCTGTTGCAAGAGTCAATGTTGGTTGCTTAATCACGAAGAAAATTTGTCAGGCACTCCGTCAGCTTATTACCCCTACGATACCACACGGCGTCGCATTGATCCTTGGGATGGTATAAAATATTTAGTATTATTTCATGGTTTGGTTGGAGTCTTTTAGTACCTTCTTCTTTGTTTAAAGGTGATATGTATATTCTAGTAATACGCCTTCTAGGATAGATATTACATACATTCACATTTCGATAAACGTTTGAAGATTTTATCGAGAAGTTAATAAAAATCGAAATTAGCACCATCTATATTTTAAAGTAAGAAGTTGTTTTTTGTTGTTGTATAAATGGAATAGATGGCACTAGCAGTCTAAAGTTGTTCTTTAATACGAATAATTTACTTTGGTAGGGTGTTCGTAGAAGTCAGAAAATGTCCTCTAATTACATATTTTATAAGTTTTACTGGAACTTGAAATATTTTTGAATATTTAAACTTTTGAGCTGATTTTGGCATTGCAACGAGTGCTGGGTCCAACTAGTTGTTATTATTTTTATTTTTTATAATTTTTTTACAGGTACATCAATCTGTAGTCGTCGTTCAAATTAAAAATTGAAATCAGAAAATATGTGAAAAATGTTTGCGTTATCGCAAAATAATAACAAATGTTTTAGTTGTTTTGTGATATAATAAAATTAATTAAAAAAAAAAACAAATTATTCTTTTCTTCTTTTTTTATTTTGTTTTTTTTTTCCGATTTAAAATTACCTTACACGGGTGTTCAGCCGTATTCAAGGATAATAAGAAATATAAAGAATATATGTCACTGGCTGAAAATGTTATTTATTGTGGACTTATTGCGGAGTAATTCAGGAGAGTCGCGAAATTATTAGTTTTAACAGTAATAAAAGAAAAATCTCGGGTCGCAGCAGTGCCCGTTCAAGAACAATTCTTATTTCAGATTGACTTTTCATAGGTTTCTGAGATCAAAATCCCTGAATGAATCTTATCCCTCTCATGTATTTATATATTTTTTAAACTGGGATTTTGGTCTCCGATACCAAAGATTTGAGATTTATTTCTCGCCTATCGTAATTTAACTGGTTTATGAAGTGATTTTATTTCTATATAGCTATACGATGATCTCTTTGGGGTTAGACAAAGGGCTTTCTCTTCAAAGCAACTCCATAACGAACTTCAAAAATGTATGAAACTGACAAATGACAATCACGCGACTTATGGAAAGTTATTGTCGGTTCTAATGCATTTTATCTAACCCCGCTTAAACACGTGCAATTCGAAACTATCATAAATTGGGAATTGGGAACTATCATAGTCCTTAGAGATATTTCGAGAATAGTAGCAGTTCTCTATAGGTGTTTTAATAGACAATGATAGAGGAAGACCGAAGAAAGTATGGATAGATTGTGTATGAGTAGATATGCGTTGAAGGCAGTAAAAACAGATATGGCGGCTGATAGAGATGTACATAAATAAAGGATGTATAGTACATACTGTGCCGTTCCTCCGCAGGAGGAAAGGAAGTTACGGTTGAATGCATTTCTTATTTGTATTTTTTATGATCTCTTTCACTACGCTAAGTAAAACGGTGAAAATAAAAACTTTTTCTTGGATGGAATTTTCATTGCAAACTTTACGACGGCGCCGCGTAAAATTTATTTCAATTGCTTCATCCAGAGTTTTTTAATTTTTTTTTCTACCCCGGTAACCTCAGAGCTGCGTCAAAAGCGCGTTGGCGGGCGGTTTCGCTCACTCTATTTAACACAAGAACAGTTTAAGGACATTTTCTTTTTAACTCGGATAGTTTATAAGCGTTGGTTAGTGTTTTGAAAAGGATAAGATTATTTGAATAGATTTTAACTATGTGCTTATTTCATATATGGTCGGCTGATAAAATTGCATGCTTATAATTATGTACAGTGTACGATATTAACTACATAAAGCTACTAGGCAAAGAAAGGAAAAGCTTAGCTCTAGGTTTGTTTTAAGATGGTTTAGGACAGTAGTCGAATGGCAGGATTCGATTCCTCGACCACGCCATCGGATGTCCGTATTTGAACCATTAGGCTATTGGTGCTTAAAAAGGTTGACGGGCCTTTGAAAGGTTACAAAAGAATGATTTCTTAATTTGAAATTCATATCTGATTATAATTTGAATCGGGTTTCATAGCATTTATTCGACTATCAATTTAATAGTAATAGAAATAAGAACGATAATTGAGTACCACTAATTTTTCTGTTAAAATATTACTTAACTGTTTTTTGTTTATTTGTGAAATGATAGAATTTAACTGAAAACATAAATTACAGTTAATACACTAACAAATAGACCGAAACTGAATGGTTTAATTAGTTTAGTTAACAGTGGAGCGATTGCGAGCAAATTCTAACTGAATTTCCGACTACATCACTTTATTAATAATAGAACAGATATGAAGCAAATTGGTATGAATTTAGCTTTGTTGTAATATCGCTAGTTTAGCGGGCGTGAGAATTTAATTACGTTTTTAGATTCGTTTTCTAGATTTTAAAAAAAGTATTAATAGTGTTTCTAAGTTTTTAAATATTATATTAGATTACTGATAGGACAACATTTTTCAATGGTGATATTATGTAGATAAACACTTTTGGAACTTTAATGTGGTAGAGTCAGATTATATTAAAATTTGTTTTTATTTTTAAGGGTTTATCGACTTTTAAATATTTTATCAACATAATTTTACGTTTAAACTCTCGCTTTTTAAAGAAAAATAGAGTAATTAACACAGTTTCATATAGAAAAAATTTATAATAGGTATTCAAAGTTAACTTAAAATTAACAAAAAGTTATGTTCGCATTGTTGGTTTATGTTTAGTGGTCGAATGTGTTGTTGTGGGTTAAACTTGACAATTATATTCTTGAGTATATTTCTTTTAAATAAGTATTTTTATTGCTAGATCTAGTTTTACAAAGGGGCAAAGTTACATAAAAATTTTTGCTTCCAAAATTAATAAAAATATATTTAAGAAAACGACGTTAAGAAAATTAAAACAGTTCATCATACCGTTGTAAAGAATAACAATTGAGCGTAAGTTTCAAAAAATTCAGTAACGGCTCGTACGAAAAAGTGAAAAAATGAATTGCTAGAACCCACCATCGACCCGGGGGCGTTGCATGGGGCGGCACCAGGCGCCTCCTGCCCACGGAGCATCGAGACCGTTGTGCGGCCGTCAGTAGCCCGTCGGCCACGACGAAGTGAGCACGGCTGTGATGCCACGTGTGTTAGTGCGGTAGTGCAGTGGGGCACAGGCCCAATCGTTCGAAAATAGAAAACGGAAAAATTGACCCCCAGATGGGAGTATACGAGGAGAGGGGAGCGATGCACTGGGTGAGATTTTCACAAAAAAAATTGTCATAACTATTTTATTTTTTATTCCGAATTTCTCAAGTGCCTTTAAAACACCTACGATGTTTATTATCGAGGTAAATACTCAGTTAATATTTAAAGTGTACTTAGCGGACAGTTTTGAGAATATTCTAATTTCCTCGAAAGCTCTTTGCCGTTATTTACAATTAGCGCGGCAACTTTGTTATTATTAAACAAATGAAAGCTTACTTCTTTTTTTATTTCAGCAATTCTTAATATGAATTTTAAGAGTTATTTCATAATATTTATTTTAAAAAAAATCTTTACTTAATAAATAAACAGTAGCATATACAAACATAAGTTTCAGTATAAATTAAAAATAAGTCACTTCAAGGATATTTGAAATTATGTCCAATTTTTTTTTATTAGATGCTTGTTTCGCTCAATGTTTTATTGATCTGTTCATAAGTGTAATATATTTCTTGAGGTGTTTAAAGTTATGATATATAAATATATAAATATAGTCTGCAAACTATGCGTTGAAATCTTTTGTAAGATGATGTTTCCACAGAGCCTATGTCTTTTACTTTTGTTTCTTTCTATAAATTTCATTTATTACGATATTACTCATTTTAAATACATGTTTCTATAAAACTTTTATCACTTTTGCTTTCAAATAAATAATTATTATAACAATTTTCTCGTATGAATTATTTGTCAAAATGTTGTAATTACTTTTCATTTAACGTAGTAATGAACCGTACCGCGTAATGTTTTGAGCCTACACGTATCCAACCGCCCATACTAAAGTTTCATAATGAATACAATAATTTAATTAAAGTTGCGAATTAAATTATTTATTTTCCTTTTAATCAACTATTTTAGACTCTATATGTAATTGATTTTAATTGGTAAAAACCGGCATTTGTGTATATTAAAAAATTCAACTTTTATTGTTGACAATTATACTAATATTTTTTTATGAATAACGTACTTAAAGATTACTGCTTAAACTTTTCTTTTATTATAAATAAAAAAGAAATAAAAAGATATTTTAGTAAGAACTTTTATTTTAGGAAAACTTGAATAAAACTAAGTCAGTTTTATTTTGTACTTCTTTTGACTTGTTTTGTAATTAATAAACTCGCTAAACCACGAACTGACCTCACGGTAATAGGCCATGTTGTCAAAAAAAATGTCGCGAAAGTCATCTCAAGTTCAGTGAGGAGTTCAGTCCCTACCATTGATTCACCACATATGTCTATTCCTCATACAACTTTTAAAGATCTCTCTTCTCCAGTATTTTCTCAAGTTTCTCGTTTGTGTTTTTAAAATTCATCATAGTTTTCAGCCGGTAGCTATCCACTCATGGATGTATGCCTTTCCCATTTACTTCTAGAGTTAAATTTATGAAATAACGATTAATATTTTCAGGGTTTTCGAATTTCTTGTTTATATCATATTCAAAACTTGGATTTGTCAGTGGAGGGATATCTTACTCATATTATAAATGCGTTTATTTGTATATGTGGATGATTGTTAGAAGATATAAGTTAACGGCTTCGTAGATCTCTCTGGAATTCGGCATATAATAGAATAGAACGTAGGCGTAGGCGGGAGGTAGTTAAATTAGTTATATAGGTAAACAACGTATCTGCAATCTTCTACCTAAGTTGTATCCGATCGGTAATTTCGCTATTTTAGCGATTTCAGGTAATTCGCTCATATGTCACCTTGTACTTTAAATGAAAACCTTACTTTTATATTATTAATGTGAACGTTTATGGATAGATGGATGTTATTAATGTCCAGAACGGCTTAACGGATTTCGATGATATTTGGTATAGATGTAGAACACAGTCTGAAAAAACCGAAGGTCACTAAATAAGTTTTTTTTAATTCCGCACGGACGGAGTCGCGGCCGACAGCAGATTGCGAACCTAATAAATGTAATTATAACTACGCCGCTGAAATAGATATGACATGTATACGAGTATGTACCGGATATGTTAACAAACTTAAATTTAATTTTTGTATAATTAGTGTTCATGTTGTTTCTTTGAAATATATTTCTAGCGTTTATAATAAAATACTGAGCATAATTAAGTTAATTTTGTTTCTGCATCTCATTTTTTATATTATAAGGTGGCAAATGAGCGTTCTCAATTTCGTTTGCAACGTGTAATAATTCCCAAAAAAAAATAATGGATGCAAATTGCGAATAATTTTATTTGAAGCTTGGTTTAACATTGCCGTAACTTTGTTACAGTTCTCTTAAGTTTTATTTTACTTTAACTTAACATTCCATTGATTACTTAGATACGACTCAACAATCAACGAACTCTAAAAGAGATCTTAACTTATTGTGTTTCCACTACATTCCATCCATTACATTCGAATAAGATTTTTCTTTTTCAAAAATACTTTCAATTAATTTATCACAATACCATCAAAGTGAAATTTATTTTTTTAATACGAAAAAATATAAACGAACCATGTCTTTAAAGATATAAATTGTAACCGAAATGAAGCGGATATATATTTTCTGCTGCACTGTACGTGTATTCCGCTGCAATGAGTAGTGCAAAGTTAATTAATGCAATACAAATTATCGCAAAACGTTTTATGAACGCGATATTACTCCATCTTTTAGAAATAGTTGTAATAAAGTAATGCCGCTAAAAAGTAAACATAATAAAGATAACTCTCTCTTGTAATATGAAATTTCTTAATGTAATTTTGACTAATAGCTGTAAAGAGCCTATCAAGTTTTTAGCAAGTTTAGTCAATAAAAACTTTGTAATACAGTTTGTTAGTATAATAAAATTAGAAGTTTAAAAGACACAAGTATTCAATTCGAACTTTAGTTTTATCACAAGCCGATTAGACGGCCGCCGTCGGCGATTCGGGACGCTAATGTTCCTTCTGCATAGAACCTTCTAACCTTTTGTTTTTATACACATTTTATTTATTGCCGCCATTAAACAAATTCAAATGACACTTTTGTAAAAATATATATATTTTTGTTTAAAACAGTATTCGTTTTGTATTACATTACTGTGTGACCGTAGATTATATTTTAAAGTTATTTAGTGAAATGTCAAATATAAAATACACAGATAATATATTAAATAATATTCTATTTTTTTAATAATATGCGTAATACTAAACTAGCGGACTGCCTCGGGTATGCACGGGTCTAAATTTACCTTTAAACATTTTATAAACACAAATAAAAATAAAAAATAGCTTCTATGTTAGAGATAATGCAACATTCTAACTGTAAATGTATTTTTAAAATCAGTTCAGAAGCGATTCATCTGAGGAAAAAAGTTATATCTCTTAAGAGACTTTATAAGAGATGTAACCTTTTTCGTCGGATGAGTCGAGGAGTTTTCAAAATGATAAAATATAAATGATGGTGTGCTAATATAGTTGTAAACTCTGGTCAGTAAAATACAATTGAATTTTAATAAAAAAGGTAATGAAAATGACACAAATTTAAATCTAGATTTTAAGATAGAATATTTATTTTAGAATAACTTTACCACATTTAATATGTGTACGTTAATTATTTACTAAGATTGCTTATTTATTTACATACTTTCGGTTCTTTATTACCTGTAAATATTTATATATTAAGCCCGACAAACATTGCTTCGTATTTTTGTTTTTATTATAAATTTTATAAATCAATAAATGGTATTTTTTTTAATATAAGAGATAGCGATTCTTTTTGTCTTCCTTCTCATCTTAGAAAATTAGAAAACTTTAATGATAGACGTAATTTATATAACTTTTTTTAATTCAATTGTGGTTAGTTTCTTCTACATTTTATTAGACGTCTAACTGTGGGGTTTGGTTGACTTTACACATATCTTTGAATTTCTTCGCAGATATGTGCAGGTTACATAACGATGTTTTCCTTTACCGTACATCGGAAGTACATCGGATAAATGAACACATGTAAATCGAAAATCATATTGGAATATGGCGCGATTTGAACCCAGGACCTGGAGATTCCAAGTGGTTAACCACTGAGCCACCGACGCTTTGAGATTGTCAAGTCTAGTTGTTATTTTTATGATTGCCTTGTAGCAGATTATGAAACAAAATATACCAAAATTAATTGATTTTGTAATTCTTCCAATCCTTTTCCGTTTATTCATTTATGAATACTGGATTTATTGTGGGTTGTTAAAAGTTTCAGCTTAGTGGTTAATTACCGCTGAGGTTTCGGGTTAGTGAGAGCCGGATTTAAATTTATTTTATATTTAACTTTAAATAAAATGTGTTAAATTTATTTTGGCTTTAACTTTATCATATTTTTGTGCAGTTGTTAATAATTTCAGTATATTTTCCGTAAATAAGGTGTCCCATTATGTTTGAAAGTTGGAAATTAAGTAACAATCAGATTTTTTGGAAAGTAATAATAAAAGGAAATAGTTAACTGTAAACATACAACCAGGCTAAGATGTAATTAAGTAAATTAAAACTTAAAAGATTAACCGTAAGTTTCTGAGATCAAAATCCCCGTTTTAAACATAACATTTTACTTTTATACTTAGAAAAAATAACCTAAAAACACTACGTGGCCCTACGTAAGAATAATCAAAGATGATAATGGTCACAAAATATTATACTGGTATGATTGTCATTACATATTTAATAATTAAGTAATAAAGCCATTTTTTAACCGAACGTCTAACATCTTGTATATTCAAATTACATACATATCTGCAACATATAGATACTTGCAGCCAGAGTTTAAATAATCACTAAGTGAGAGATTACGATGATACAAGACTCTGGGAGTTGGTAAAAATGTGAAGTATACCACTTGAGAGCAGTATAAAGTTGTCCACAGGTCAACGCGTCGAGCATAAATCTTTAAGCTAAGGATTTCCTCTTATCAAGATGGAAACCCGGAATGTTACGCTCTGAAGATCTCGTTCAATCCGTAACAACGATTCACTTTACCGTTATTTAACTGTAAGTGAAGCAAATATAATTTTAAGTCCATTAAAGAAATTGATTTTCGTTGTGAAAGCTATGAGACTCTTCAGTGTTCTTAAACAGACGATACATCAAACTTTGAACTTTATTTTTTAATAATTTACGCATGTTATGAATTACTCAGATGTTTTGTATGAAGTAGTTTTTTTTTAAATTCTCAATCATCTAAGAAATGTACGGTAAATTAGTCATTTAGGTACATTATAAGTAATATTTCACATATGAGTAGTTTTTATATATTAACATAGTGTAGATATAAGTATACATAAGTACAGTTATTACCTAAAAATTTTGAAGTCGAACTTATAAACTACTAGTTAAGTGTAAGGTAGTTACTCTTCTCGTTGGTTATCGAGAGTTAATATTTTTATTTTATTTGCAATTTTGAAAATTTCATCAGAGAATAATTCCGGGAATCTCTACTGGGACATATACGGGTACAGTTCAGTGTTTGATATTAAATAAAATTATTATTTGCTTTAACATTTCAAAATTTTATTTGCAATATAAATTCCGCGAAAATATTCTCCGATTCGGGGAACTGCAATTGAGTTGAAAATTCAATTAAACAGCTTAAGTTACGGTCGCGTTGTGAAAAGTCAAAGTTAACGACTACATTTCAATGAAAAAAGAAATGTAAAAGCGGCAAGAAAATTTTCTCGACGCTTCAGTTGTGGAATTGATGTTTGAATTTTAAATTCTTATTTAAATACAGCACCTTTAGCATTCACTCCCTACAAAAGTTATACCTTTACAAGAAAATCTATTACTCTAAGGAAGCTCGAAATGCAATTTGTATTTATTAGTTGTATTGGTTGTTTATCTTTGGCGACCAATAAAAAGTTTGAATCAATTTTAGTATAATTGCTTTCCATAATTCCAAATAAATTTAGATGTTTTGAAGTAGAATATATTTATACGTTCTAATTTTCGCATTTATAATTTCATACGGTGTCACCCCGTCCGTGCGTAGTTAAAAAAAATAATTAAAACCGTATGTGTTCTTCTAGACTATGTTCTATATATTTGCCAAATTTCATTAAGATCCGTATGGCCGTTATGGGGATAACTTCTAATAAACATCCATTCATTAGTAAGATAAGTAAGTTTGAAGTAAGTAGACAAATAAAGTTAGAATTGTTTTGAATAAAAGCGTAGTTTGTACGTGGGTAAAATCAAAAACGTCAGACATATTGGTGTAACATATCACTGCCAAGATGTTGGCAAAAGCCGCTAGCTCGCTGCAGCATTAATTAATTGGCAAGTTGCTTAAACGCGCCAGACATACATATACATATGTTCGGTGCTGTATTGAAACGTATTAATTACTGTTATTTGTCCTTTTGATACGAGTTGGAACTAGCTACGGTGCTGGAGCTGTACCCGTGCAATTGGCTCGTAATAAAAACGAATCTACATATATGAAATAAGGAAAGACTTAAGTTTTTTGAACACCACGGTGAGGTTGAATTAGTAAGAAACAAATATATATGTAACTAGCTGACGTCCGCGACTCTGTCCGTGCGGGATTAAAAAATAGATAGCACCCGATACTGAGACCTATTGAATTATAGTAACCAACATTGTGACAGGAGAATTTTTTAAAGACGTAGACGTAGTTACTATTCTTAAAAATAAAATTATTATCAAAATTATCAATTGCACCACGACTTTATAATTCATAAAATGCATGTATGTATGATATATGTTTATTGGAAAAGTCAAAAACTACGATCCCTTCTTTTATAAAAGGGGTGTACACTAAACCGGTCCATTTGTTTGCTTAACTACTCTCCGATATGCACTAATCTACTTTCGTATATTTGTATACAAATGATATTTAAGTTCAAACAGCTGCGACTTTTACGACCGTTAAGATAACCTTAATTAGATGTAGAAACGATGTGATAATCATTATACATATATATGTGTACGTAGTTTTGTATGTCAATGCGTTATAGAAATAAAATATGTAAAGGGTGTATTTTAATTAATTAAAGAAGAAATATGTAGACAACATGTATACATTAAGTCTTTGTATAATGACGATTGTTCCCCTTAAATATCTTTCTCCGGTTGATCGTAAAGGTAAAGTTTGGTGTTTTTTTTTAAACTAACAAGGTTACTTATTCAGCAACATCTTGAGAGTTACCAATCATTATCAAAATGAAGTAATTCTATAGTTTTATCGCAGTAAACGGGGAGACGCGGCAAGTTTGTTTAAAAGTATTTATAGACTGTTCATAGATAAAGGCTAACAAAGTTCAAGTAGATACATTATTTTGATTATTGTGTTTGACTATTATCTGATAATGAAATTCTAAAATTGCATTTCGATTCTATTTCAAACTGTACGTACAAATAGGATGACATTTTTTATTCAAAAGAAAAATTAGAAAAATTATAATTATGTATTTGTAATAAACATAAAATTCTCTTAACCAACAACTCTTTGAAGCGTCAATAGCCTAATGGTTAAGGGTACGGATTTCCGATCACGAGGTCCGGGGTTCGAAACCCGCCATTCGACTATTGTCGTAATCCATATCCTAGAACAAGCTTAGAGCTTAGTTGGAATGGTAAAATAAATATTAGTAAATTTACAAAAAAAATTGCTAATATTAAAAAAAATATACAACTCATATTTATAACGTAGAGGTATAGGCAGATATTATAGGTTTCCATTTGGCGCCATCCTGTCAACTCTTTCGCCTTTTTCATATTCATAAAATTGTCTTATGATATCATATTTCATCATTTGATTAAAAAAAAACTCGTGTATAAAAGCTTTAAAAAAACGCTTGAAAGAAAATTTCCTTTTAATTCTCCACTAAAGGTTAATTAATGAGCCCACGGTTCCCGGCTCTTTATTTATTCTCCCATCTCTTTATGCTAGTAAGCTACGAGCACGTTTCGTGGAGAGATTCGACGGAAGTACCATGGATGCAGCATCAAGTGCTACGTCAAAGCCTGTTTTCTATTAACTATAACGCTTTGCAAAAAAATACGAAAATGAAAACATAATGTTTCTTTTTGGTTATTAAAAGTAATGTGTTGTTTTCGATTTATTGGTCTAGATTTAACTTTTGTATTTTAATATAAATATTACGCGCTTGAAATCAAGCTATATACTGTTATATGAATTCAATAATCTTTAATTTGAAATTGAATAACAAAATAACATTATTAACCATAATTATTGAATTGAAATATATAAATAAATTCATCAAGCGTGTGACGTGCAAATATAAATTCTGCAAATATAGATTTTTTCTTATAAGATGTTATGCTCTGCAATATATTCCATTAATATTATTCCAATTATGTGAGATAAATCGAGACGAGACAAGAAGTCTCTAGACGTCTTTGTGAGCACTCGAAAGACTTACTTCAAATAACTTTTTTCTATTGTTATATCGGTTAATTAGAAATTGTTTATTATCAAACACTCAGACACTCCATTTTTATTAATAGTTGGCTAGTTGTATAAAACCATAAGGATATTTTTAAAATCAAGATTTTTGTAATGATATGAAACTGATTTGATGACTTTGGGAAAAGAAATAGTTAAGTATACCCAACCTCATGTCTAGCGTTAGAAGAAAGTATTTATTATTCGTATATAAAATTGCGGAAACCAGTAATACTATACATTTTTAGCTTGTACATGTCCCAGAGTGGACGGCTATTTTTACAGCTTGATTTTAAATCGCGTCTGTCATAAAAATAGCCGCAAGATTTATTAACATGTGACCGTACATAAATCCATACATCACATTTCGATGATAAATTCTTGCGATAAGATATAGTAGACTTTCTTGCACTTTGGTAGAGCCGTGGATCTTGACAAAAAGCTTACGAGCGATTGACTTTAACGACGATAGAGAGAAATGTCGGCGACCCGTGCTATGTCCGAAACTCTATGACATTAATTGCGTAAGTCACTTAACGATTAAAATCGCCGAGTTTTAAAGAACTTACTGTTCTTTTGTATGTATTAGAGGTGAATGTTTGCACTTAAATGCTTCAGCATTTTAAAAGTCGTTAAAAGTAAATATTAGGTCCTAGGCCTAAATGGGACAATTCTATGTTGTTGTATTATAACGAGTGTTATTATTTCAGCAACAGAGTGAGCGGTATCTGCCTTCGGCGTATGAGCAAGGGGGCGAGTTGTCGCCGGTAGCGACGGCGACGTCGCCGGCCTCCCCCCGCGACTGCACCTCGTGCCGCAAGCGCGAGCCGCCGGACGAGCCCCCCGCGCCCCCGCCGGAAGAGGCGTGCGCCGGCTGCGGCTCCCGCATCACCGACAGGTTCTACCTCCTGGCCCTCGAGCGCCGCTGGCACACCCCCTGCCTCAGGTGCTGCGAGTGCAAGATGCCCCTCGACTCAGAACAACGATGTTATGCTCGCGACAGCAATATATTCTGCAAGAACGATTATTTCAGGTAAATTTCTATTCATTTTTTTCTAAATGCACGGTTTTTGATAGAGTTGTCAAACTATTATTATAATAGAGCTGTATTCATATAATTGTATAAAAGACAGTGAATATATTCAATAATATTTGACCGCATATTAATCAAACATTAAATCAGTGCACTTACTTTCAGGAATTGGGGAGATACTCTGATTTTCTATACATAAAAAATTGCTTATTATTATTTTTGATAGCATGAAGCTTAGTTCATATGAGGAACGCAATGATAGTAAATTTTTATTAAATTTTATTGTAGAGTTACTTGAACATTGGAAATTGTACAATGGAAGAAAATTATAATTTTCTTTTACTAACAACTCGATAGAAGTAGCAGCAAGAGATTATTTATATGGTGAATTTATGTTAGTACGGGGAAAAAATCTCATTTGAAAACTTCATAAATACAGTAAAGTGTTGCGTGTCGAGATAACGTTATAATGCAAGCTCTTTGTAAATGTGTTCATTAGTACAAAAGTTAAGAATTAATTTTAATTGACGTTGTGAATTAGGACTGCAGTAATATTATTTTTCGAAAACCTGCCAGCAATTTAGAAAGACTTTCATCAGTGCATTTTTATGTTTAGGCCTAAATATATAAAGTTTAAGAAGATAACAATATAATTTTGTTCAGGTAAATGTATAGTTCGCAATATAATTTTAGTACCTACACAATTAAGCATAAGGCTCGTATCTTTGTTGTAATTTTTATTACCTTATAACATATCTTCTACCATAAATCGTAATTACTATTTTATAAATTTAAAGCTATTTTATTCTGTCATATCTTATGTTTAAAACAATTTTATTCGATTTCGTGATTTAATAATTTTGAAAGCATATTTATTACCTATAACAAAGTAAAATTAGAAAATAAAACAGTATTCAAATAGTAAGAAGAGTACTATATTTTACGTATATTTTAACAGTGGTAGAGCCCGCTTTAACATCTTCGCACGAATTGTCCCGCTCGCCCGGTGAAATACCACGACCACACAGAAAACAGGCGTGAAGTGGAAGCAATTTCGCGTTTCGTCTGATGAGTGTGCGACCCGCAGGCCTAATTTAGTCCTCTTTCCCTTCCAACTCTTTTTCTTATAAGGAAAGGATGGGAAGTGGACGTGGACTTTCCGGATGAGAGTATGCATAGAAAAGGAAAATATTTCTTCTTTCTATGCATCCTCTCTTCTGTCGATTAAAGGTAGGCAACGCATATACAATTGCGTATGTCTATGGGCAACGGTCACTTCGCTATTTCAGCGATTTCGGGTGGGGATATAAAAACGTAGTTAAATTTTACGTTTAGAAATTTTTGCAAAAAAAAAAAAATGATTGAACGATATAACTTCCAATGAACAATTTTTTCGTAAAGCTGTCGGTTTGTTTTGAAATACGTTATTCGTTTTAGTTTCGTGCATCGCGTGATGGTTTGTGCTGAAAAAACATTTTGTTTTTTACAAATAAAAAGTTCCACGATACTCTTCAATGGCGCACAGATTATAAATGTTCACTGTTATTTTACTAAAATCTTTTATCTGTTGTATTTGGTCTCGGATGATTGTTATAGTGTGGTGAATATTGATTTATATTATTGTAACATACGTAGACATAACAATCTCATTAAAATATCTATCATATCATATCAACATAATGCCTACAACTTTATATTTTTTATTCTTTCTAAATTTTAAAAATGAAATTGGTAGTAAAACTATTTTTATTGTTCGAAAGTTTATTTCTAATTTGTGGAAAAACATATAGTAATTATTCTATTGTGTTGATATAAAACGTATAAAGCATACTTCTAATTTATACATATGTTACTCATCCATTGTGTTCAAGGAAAGGCAGTAAGAAGCTTGTGCATTTTCTATGCAAGAGACTTAAGGACGCCAGCGCTGTGCGAGCTTACGTCATAAAAGTTTTAGAAAATTCTTTGTGTAAAGTCATTCTTATATCTTGACTGGAATTTTTTATTATTATGTTCTCTTTTGCACTGGACTACGAATGTTTATTGTAATGTTAAAAGCAGATTTTAACTTACATAATTTTATTTCTAAGTCACAATTAATAAATAGTCATAATAGGCTAAAATATCAGTTATACTGACAAAACTTTTAGATTATAGATTCGAAGTTATAAGAGGTTTTGATTGTAATTTACAATATTAGACAAAGATGTATACGTATCAATTGCATTAGTATTTGTAGTCTTCTATCGACCTTCGCTCATCGGTCAAAGTTCCACCGCAGTCAAGTACGATCAGGTCTTAATTATAATTTATGTATGTCATATCTATTTGTGCAAAGTCAAAGACATTGATTTGAAATATTAATATAACTATTTGCTCTAAATAGGTTTGAGCGATAAGTAATGTTAAGATTTAATAGGGTAAAATGTTCAACTTAGACTCGATGTTCACTATTAAATCATATTATTACTCATCATCATCATTAGCTCACTATACGTCGCCGCCGAGGGGCTCGAAGCCTATCCTAAGTTAAGGGTTATTAGCCCATAGTCAACCATGCTGGCCAAGTGCGGGTTGGTTGACTTTAAGCATATCTTTGAATTTCTTCCCAGATACGTGCAGGTTGCATCACGATGTTTTTCTTCACCGTAGGAATGTCGGATTAATGTACATATGTAAATCGGAAATCGAAAAACACATTGGTACATGGCGGGATTCGAACCCAGGACCTGCAGATTACAAGTCAAGTGCTTAAATCACTGAGCCACCGACGCTCTTTATATAACTATTTGCTCTAAATAGGTTTGAGCGATAAGTAATGTTAAGATTTAATATTGTAAAATGATAGACTTTGACTCGATGTTCACTATTAAATCATATTATTGCTAGTCTAGGAAGATTCGGACAACATAAACTATATTATTAACCTCGAGAATGTGTTTTTCGAATTTATAACCCGCGATTCGGTATTTCTCGCCCCAGAAATACCTATGATATTAATTTATTACAAATTCCAAATTGAAGAGGCCTAGTTTTGTGTTATTTTTTACAAACATCGATATTTTTGTTTGTCTTGGATTTTTTATTTGTCTATATTACCAAAAGTATAAGGTATAAAATTAACCAAATCGCACTCAAATTACTTGTAATGCCTTAACAATAAAGTGTATTTCTATTTAATAATCATATTGATTTTGCTCTGAAAACTAGATTATAAAAAGGTAAATTTTAAAGTTTTTATTGATTTTTGTTTTATGTCTTTTTATATAATTTTATTATTATGTGAATATATTAAATACTAGATTATTAATGGTGCAATTTATAAAAATGAATAGACAAATGTGAATTGATTATTTTTTAAGACTATAACACAACATACATCACGTACGAATATATTAATATTAATAAGTTAAAACGGCCGTAATAATAATTATTATTGATGTCATTTCCAGCTGATAGTCTGATGATTTAATCTAAACTATATCTTTTTGTATACTTCACAGAGAAATAATTTAAAAGTATAGGTAAAATAGCTGTCGTTAGCGAATTGTAAAAAACTTAATAAGCCTATGTGTTCTTCCAGACCATGTTTTACATCTGTGCCAAATTTCATCAAGATTCGTTCAGCCGTACCGCAGATACTTTCCAACAAACATTCATCTATCCATCCATCCATCTAAACATTGGCATTTATAATATTAGTAAGATGTTGAGTATTATTAAACGAATTGTTCTTTTGTTATTTAAAATGTGTTTCAAATAAGCATAGAAACAATTTTATAATATTAAAATTATAAATGTGAAAACTTAGATGTATAGATCGACATTATACAGTACATTATCCCGAATGTGGAAAAATTTCATCATAATGATAACATTCTTACACATACTATTGACATTTCGAAAATCTCAATGTTATATAAAACGCTCAATCTTGAGTTACACCTACGAGTACTAGTCTGTCTCGGCGTTTTTCCTATTGCTACTATTTAGACGTAGAACATAGAGACAGTATTTATTCTTTTGTTTCAACAATAGTACTACTGGATTATGTACTGTTCTGTACTCGTGTGAAAGTATTAGTTTTGGGCGCGGGCCACGTAAGTCCGACCGTCACCCATCTGCACGGCTATCTGATGTACGTTTTACAGCCCACCCCGGTCACAACTCACTTAGTATTATCGCCGCGTCCAACTTGGACACGTCCTCATCTCAATAGCACATCTCTACGGGACGTCGGAGCTAGGAAATACGTGTGGTATCTGTTACAAGCGATAGCGGATTTAATTCAATTATATTTTAATACCATATTGGTTTACAGTAGGTCATTATAAATAAATGTAAATAAGGTTATTTAATGGTTGTCATATTATAATTTATAAGTAATTAATTATAAATTATCCACTTTAACTTTTTAACACTTGAAAGTGAATGATGAAGTAAAAAATATTATATTTGGTATGTCATGGTTAATTTAAAAATAACACATTAATTATATGTAGTTCATTTTATAAGAAGCATTATTTAAATTACGTGCTTAACCGGCTCGCCTTGAAATCTATAGCCAGATCAAATTCCAGACAATGTTTATAGTTTTCTTTTAAAAATAAATTAAGATGGGGCTTATATTGCACCTTATCAACCAAAGTGTGATGACGTAATAGGCCATGAAATGAAGCGTGTCTGCATAATTAAATATAGCTAAATTCTAAATTGTCTATTAATTTGTAAAATTAAAATAAATAAATAATTTGATACTTTGATAGTTTCACAATATTGCATTATTAATAAAATTTTTAGTATTTGAAAGATTATATTTATTCAATATAAAAAAAATAATGATAAAAACGCTCATTAATTAATTTGGACCAAAACGGAGGTATTAGCTAAGCTTCTTTTTTTATGTTCCACGTAAATTTAGTTTTTATTGTGGACTTTGTCGTCGATATGTCATATTGATGCGATAACAAAGTCTAGTAGTACATAATTAATAAGGTACG